CAGTGCAGAGTAGTGCAGGACAATCACCTTCCTTGACCGACTGGCAGTGCCTTGCCTGATGCAGCCCAGGACACTGTTGGCCCTCCTGGCTGCCAGGACACACTGTTGTCTCATATTCAGCTTGCCATCAATTAGGGGCCTTCAAGTCCCTATCCACAACAGTGCTCTCCAGCATCTCATTCCCCAGTCTGTATGTACAGCCAGGGTTGCCCCATCCCAGGTGCAGAATCCATTGCTTGCTCTTGTTAAACTTCATTCAGTTGGTGATTGCCAGCCCTCTGATTTACCTAGTTTCTCTGCAAGGCCTCTCTGCCTTCAACAGCTCCTCCCAATTTTGTGTTATCTGCAAACTTGCTTAATAATCAAAGTCCTGTATCTAGTCATTTATGAGGATGTTGAAGAGCACTGGGCCCATGACAGAGCCCTGTGGAACCCACTAGTGAGCTGTCGCCAACCTGATGTAATCCCATTCACCATAACCCTTTGTGCCTGAGCCATGAGCCAGGTGCCCACCCATGTTACAATGGTCCTCTTGCCACCACCAAGGCAGCATGAGGATTGCACAGGAAATTAAAAGATTCAATGTTTATCCACAAAAGACAAGAAGCACAGCCTCCATCTCTGCAAACACGCTTCATCTCATCAGCTCCACCTCCTCTAGTTCACTCTAGTTCACTTTTTAACATCAATGAGTCTTTGCTATTCATTCAACACAATGTATGATGGTGTTTTCTTGTCTCATGCATCCTTCTACAATTGAAGTTTGGCTAGCAGCTCTTGCCCAGTGGTAAGCAAGTTGTGTAGAGAAGCTGTCTGAGAAGCATACAGAACCTTAGGATCCATGAGGAATGAAATAGATAATATCATTAATGGTAGTTTGACACCTCTATAGTTCAGGTGGGAATAATACCAGGGGGTTCAGATATGAATGTCAAAAATGACCAGAAGAACTGAAAGGCTTTCATATTAAAAAGCTATGATAATGGTATTATTACATGTTGGTTACCACTGGGAAGAGGACACTGAATTAAGAAAAACACTATTCTAAATCTAGTTGATTCTTAGCAACCAGTGTAGGTTAGATTCTTCAATCCAGTATTAAATGTGTTGTGGTTCATTTCTACTCTTACAAGGTTATGCAGTTCACAAGGACAATGATTTTAACAAGAAAGATAGGCAGCTGTTTCTTTCTGCACTCTGGAGGTGGAAACGTTCAGACATCTTCCTCAGTAAACAAGGTTGCCTTTAATACTGCAGTACTAAAGAATAATGGAATTTTCATCAGATTTACAAGAGTTTGGCAAGCTTAATTGAAGAATTTTACAGCAGAGTAATTGGTGAGTAACAAGTGTCAAGGCATAGAAACACTACACCTTTAGTTGTAAGCAACTTGGAATGAGCCTGATCTCAGTGTTGCCAGTAACTAATAGCATGAAGGATGAGATCTCTTGGCTTTAAAGCATTGTCATGTGGGAAATTATTTAGATGATGCCCTTAACTAGTATGGCAAAGAAGCAAACAATATGCTTATGCCTCCTTGTACCAGATCTACAACTTGAAGCCTGACTGTATGCTGCCCTTGAACCCTACAGCATAAATTCTATCTTCTACCTGCAAACTTAGACTTTTCCTAGTGTGACATAACCCAAAATACATGAAATAAGTTAATAAAAGTGATATTTTGTTTGCGTAACTAATATTTTATTAGCCTCTGGCACAAACTGTGACAGGCAAGTTATTGCTTGATGCTCCTCAATTGCCATATGTTTCTAGTGCAGATTGTAGATAGCTAATTCATTTGATGATACATAGATATGCTGTCAATGTCTTCTAATCTTTACAAAGGTAATTTGAACACTGGTTGCATATTTTGGATTGCAAACATCAGTCATCTGTCAACATTTTCTTTGGACCACCATGCAACACTATCAAATGTTTAGCTGGTAACATTTGGCACTGGAGCTTGACAGGATGCTTGCAGATGTCCCAGTGGGAACAAATCACCAGTGGCCCACACACAGCAGCTTGAGATTGCTTAATTTGGAATATGTTATTTGTATTAAGCCTTCTACTAGATTCTTCCTTTTGTCTTTCACTAGTCCTACAGTCTATCACAGTAAATCAAAACCAAATGTTAAAGATTGGGGAAAGAACTTGCAAAAAGAACAGAAGAAGATATAGTGAAAATAGTCATAATGAAGAAGTTCTGTTCCAAATCTCAGGCTGCTTACATAACACACCCACATCATCTTTCCCAAAGATAAAGAAACTGGAAGTCCATCACAGCATAAATTTGTATTCACAGGTCTGTATTTTTATAAGCACCCTATTCATAATTTTAATTTTTCTAAATTTTTACACAAGTTTTCAGTTTTTAAAAAGGAATTCAATATTTTAAAACATTTAAAATTAAATGCAGGAAAACACTTTTGTAAGCAGCTGGGTTTTAGCAAGTTATTCCACTGCACCCTAGGCAGAGTTCCATCCATTTGATTTGCACTCTCACACAAAGAGAAACTCCACCAACTCACCTTGCTGGCCTGTCTCTCCTAAAAATACATGGATATCCATGACAGCATTCCAGTCATGCGAGCTATCCCATTGTGTCTCTGCAATTGCAATGAGATCATGGCCCTGCAAACGCACACAGATCACTAATTCCTTCTGTTTATTCCCCATGCTGTGTGCATGGGTGTATAGCCATTTCAGAGGGGTAATTGAGCATATAGATTTCCCAGAAGGAGTGCAAGAGGATCCAATGTAGCCATGCATACCCTTGAGGTGACTGGCTTTCTGGTTCTCATCTTAGGAGGCAACTAAGGAACATTTGTTGCTGCTGTGGCTGGTCTGGCTTATTCCCCAGCTGGATGTGATGCTGTGAACATTGCCACTTTGGATGCCACCACCCAAGTCCCTCAGTTTACTCTGCCTCGCCAAGCTGGCCAGCTTGGTGCCAAATCCTGGGAGCAGACATAGAAGATTTGGTGGTGGTTGCTTTTTCAAAAAAAAAGAAGTATCCAAAAAAATATTGCACACATATTTCAGTAATTTGCTGCACAATTCACCGGGTAGTTAAAAATCTCCATTGCCAACATGGGAATTGTGATTCTGTCACTTACCATCCAGATGTTTTGTTCTTTTTTTTTGTGCCTGCTTTAACATGATCTTTACACCTCAAGCTTGTCCCTGTAGCCAGAGACCTAATGGGAGGCTCATGGGGGCACTGCCTGGGGTCTCCCTGGACTTCTGCTTCCTGAGCCTTCAGGCCTGGTACAGACCGTTACCAGAAAGGAATAGAAAAGTTCTGGCAGCCCTTAGTGATGTTGCACCCTCAGGCTCCTGGAGGACAGTGTGCTTGCTACCATATCAGGTTCAGCTAACAGAGATATTTCTATACCTCTCAGTACAGAATTACCTGCAACTACCATTAACGTCTTTTATTTCCTCCTGCAAATCTTGGTGCCGAATCTCATAGCCTTGTGTTGCACAGTGTTTTCTTCTCTGCTGGGGTAATACTTTGCTCACAAGTTTGATTGATCTTGCCTGTTCAGTGACACTTCTTCAGAATCAGGCACATTTTCTTCATGGTGAACTTCTTTATGTCCTTCTGTAAAACATTTATAGACCCAAAGCTTAGTATAAAGGTGTGTGGAAACTAACAGGTCACCAAAACATTTATCCTTAATTCTCTACTGGCTGCTTCCTTGATTGATAATACCTTCAATCAAAAAGGAAAGGGGGGAGGGAGGGAGAAAGAAGAAATCTGTTCTCAGAATGAAGCCAAGTCAGCCTATTTCTGTGAAGATATAAGAACGAAGTCTGACTGGCCAACGGTGCTACCACCCCTGCACACAGGACCCCTGAGGGACTGGGTGCTGACCCCTTGGCAGGAGTGGTGCACATTAGTGTAATTATACCCTGACTTCATCCCAAAACCTTAGCAAGGGTTACTGTGTTGTCTTTTTGACATAGTAGTCATAAAATGAAGTGAGCTGTGGGCAACATGCTCAGCTCGCTTTCATATACACACTGCAAGCCTTGTTACCAGGGCCTCACAAAGCATCTCTTGAAAAAGGAATACAAGATGCTCTTTGTAAATAAAAGTTCATGAGTCTGAGGAATGAAGTCATTTTCCAAAAACGCAGTGAAAGATATTCTTTTTCACGAGCCGATGAGAAGCTGAGAGGTGGGCTTGAGGGAAAGGGTCTGAATGAAGCATGTCAGAGGAACCACTTAGCCCTATTAGCCCATGGCACAGCCAGGCTGTCTCCCTCCTCCTTCTCCTTTTCCTCCTCCTCCTCCTCCTCCCGCCCACAGTCTCCCCTCCCCCATGTCAAAAGAAAAGGTTGGTCTAGCAGGTTTTTTTAATAAATCTGGCACCTTTCTGCCTCCCACCGAATAAACTGGAGATGTTAAAAAATAAGCAATCATGAGAGTCAATGATTTGTGTGGAGTGGTCAGATGGAGTTGGGGGGGGTGGTGTGGAGAGGGAGGAAAGTGTGACCTCACTTTCTGAACGGCAAAGTTTGAGTGGGTGGGTCTCAACACGAAAGGTAAAAAAGGGAATGATGTGAACATGTGAAGGAAGCCAGAGCACTGAGCAGAGCGTCAGTCTGCATCCTGACAGGGGGAGATAAGGTGGCTGGGGAGCCAGCGGTGCTTTCCTGGAATACAATCTCTGTTTGACACTCTCTGCTTAAGCACTGCCCATCTGTATGTTATTGTGCTGGAGCCTCTGGGGAAAAAGAGGAGCCACAGGCACGGAGACTGAACGAGGGAGGCAGCAAAAGCTTTTTCCCTTCTTTTCCTTTTTTTTTTTCTTTTTCTTCTCTCTTAAATCGGGATCTGGTTAGACTGCCTTGAAGTGCCACATCTGGAAATTGAATGCTGAAAGAGAGTTAAAATAACTGAGGCACCACTAAGCCAAGGGGGGCTGATTGCAGAAGAGGGTAAACAATTACTGAGACGCTAGAAGACCACTGCTGGATGTAAGGGAGGAAATGGCTTTGATCTCCGCCTGGTCCCTCGTTTCTCCTATATTATTCTTTTTGAGATGCTTCTCCTCCAGCACAGCCTCGAGTGAGGGAAGCGTTTTTCTGTTTGACATTGAAGGTAGCTCAGCGGTCAGCGCGCAAGAAGCCACTGTTATCAGAGGGCAGCAGCAGGCAGTAGCTACTGGAAGTTGGGTGCCTTTTGCTGAGGTACAGTAACTCACTTCTCTCTCTAGTGTCTGCACTTTTCTGCTTTCATCTGTCTGTGTCGAAGCTCCCATCTGGTTAATGTTAGCTTAATCATTCGATCCTTAAAGCGATACAGGAGGACTTTGTCAGGGGGGTGTGAGACATTGCATTTTGGGACTGGAGAGATACAGTTCAGACTTCAAAATGTACACATGCCCTGCCTGCTGTGAGCAGACAGCTGCTGTACTTTGCAGTGAAGCTGGCTTAGCATGTCTCTGACTTTCCTGCCAACATAACTAAACAGGCCTGTCCAAACAGAGCTATTTTACAAGAGTTAATTGTCACAACACTTTTCTGCTTGCCTTGTTGTAGTTCCTGTAATTGTAATTCACTTAAATTTCTCCAAAGTGTCTGTCTTTTGATGGCAAACTCTGTACTGCAGAAGTTTGTGTTTTTGTTTCTGAATGCCATCCGCCTCCAAAATCTTAAGTCCTTTGTGCAGTGAAAGAAGGGGATGATAAATCAAATGTCTAGGAAACTGTCTGCAGAGAGCACACCTGCAGAGATTTTAAGACTTCCAAAAAGTATGAGGTTGGGATTAGTGACAAATGAAATTAGAGAGATCTGAGAAGCAATTTCAGGATGGAAGATTTTCCTGTAAACCCCATGTTTTGGGACTGATACTCCTTATTCTAGCACGGCTACATCAAGAATGGACTCCTCAAAATACAGCTTGAGGAAACAATAAATTACTCCAGCATACACTGGGATAGAGGGGACAGGACAGTAATGTCTCATGCGTGGGAGATGCAAAGTAGGAGGCAAATTGAGTTGCATAAGGTCATGGGAAGAGAAAGAGTAGTTATTCTAGCATAACATCTAAAAATGAGGTGAGATTAGCACAGCCATGCCACTGTGACAATATCAAGATTACAATCTCCAATATCACATGGATAATTTTCCCCCTACACTCCATTTGGCAGAATTAACAGCCATGGAAATAAGTGCATAAGCCCTTCAGACAGCCAGGATTGATGCAGAGCTGGGCAGAGCTCATCCCCCTGCTCCAAGCAGCTGGACAGCCTCAGGAAACGCCTGCCCACCCTGGCAGGGACTCCGTACAAAACATGACCTGTGTGAGAAAACTGAAGGTTAAACCTTTCTTTGCTCGGAATAAGGACTCTTGGGAGCCATCCTAGTTCTTGGACAGGGATGTACAGATCTTCTCTTCTGGCCTGAGATAAGCCCCAGGAAGCTGCATTGCCACCTGTTGCTTACAACATAGAAAGTACCTCAATGAAAGACCTGATTTGGCTTTGTAGCTGCTTTTCACAGGATAATGGGCATAAGTGATTATTAGTCTTTCTTGATATGATTGTGTGGTACGGTTTTCCTAAAGACACACTTCACATTGCATCACTTAAATATATTAAACTTCACCTTGGGAAAGCACTGTGAGATATGTTGGACACAACAGGGGAATGACACTTCTCTTTCACCCGTTTCAATCCTCCCTAAAGCTTTGTTTGTTCAGTCCAACCTATTAAACTCAATAACTGGTGTTTGCTCTGGAGGTTTACTGCAGCCCCCACAATGGCAGCATTTAGACTCTGTATCCCATGTCACAACTGGATGACAGTGCCTGATATCATTATGCCAAGGCCCTTGTCTGCAGGATGCTATGGTTCCATGAGGAAGAATCAGGGATTTCAGGACCCTATTTTAGCTGCAGATTTCAGGACACACCTCCATGGCAATTTCCAAGGAGGCTCAGTAGGGTGCTTTTTTTTGGGACAGGACTTATGGCTCTGTAGCAGTGAGATCCTGCTTACCCACCGATCCATGTCTGCGGTTGGTAACCTGGGGAACACGCTCTAAGCCTGGAGGCTGTTGTAGGTGTCAAGGTCTTATGGTCTCTCACCTAAGGAAGGAATATTTCCTTTGGTCCTCTGAAAGCTTCTCCCACAGTTCACCTTCCCTCCCTTGGCCTTGGGAAAAGGATTTATCCCAGAAGGTTTGAATTAGCCTCTTTTGTAGCCTGAGTTCTTAACCCTCAGCTCACAGTGAACCACAGAGTAAACTCCCTTACACAGAGCGGTTTGATTCAGCTCCTTCATCTAAATATTGACTCAGGCCTACAGCTCTCCTGAGCAGAGGCTGTTAGTCATGTTGAATAGTGCCAAATTATACAAATGGCGCAGATTTGTAAGGCAGAGTTGCAAAGCCATGGATGGGGCTTCATGCTGGTCTGTAGTGCCAGTTAGCTGAAACGTGAAACACACTGGTGGGAGTTTCTGAGATGTAACTAGTGGGATGCTCTTAAATCCTGGGATGCTCTTTAATCCTGGTAAGAGTTTGATATTATGAATGTATAGAAGAACAGGAGATCCCAATTAATGTAAATACAAATTAGCAAATATTTTTCAGCTTTCCACTGCTCTTCCTTTCCCATATTTGGCAATGCTAAACTCAGGAACTGGGAGAAGTGGTTGAAAAAAATCAGAATTAATGTCAACATAGACCTTTCTCTTTATTATTTTTTTTTCTTGGATTTGAATGAAAACCTCTTAACATCAGAGACAAGAGAACTAACTACATTTTCAATTCTATGCTAATACACTGTACCCATGCACAGAGTTGGGCCATAGGTTTGAGTTGGATTTCAGGCACCATCTACTGCCTTGGTGCCCTGGTTCTTAATATGCAATCCAGTACAGATAAATTGGCACATAAACAGTTCCTAGATGTTTCAGTCATAATCATGGACTGTCTTAACCCCAAATTTCCCATGCAGTAATGGAGACATTAGGTTTCTTATACGTGTAGTTCCTAGCGGTCTCCACTGTAGACTCTGAAAGGACCCTCTCCCCCTTTAAGGACTTTGTGGATGCTTCAGGACAGCTTTATTATGCAACTGAAGTCTGGGGCACAAAATGTAGATGTTTAAATTAACTGGACTAGATTCTACACAATGAAATGTTCTGTTATCTACATAAGGAACACTGCTAGTGACCACCATGGAATAAGATATCTGTGTCTCTGCCTCTGTTTCAAGAAAAACGCTGATAAAATGATTCAAAGAAGTATCATGAGAAGGAGTTCAGTGTTAGGACTTGGAAGACAGCTGAGAGAATCTAGAATCCAATCTGCCTAGCTCAGAGAGAGGTAAAGAAAAGAAATTGAACTTATTGTGTATTTGAACTTATTGTGTGAGCACATACACAGACAAAAGAATAATAATAATAGGCTTGTTAGCATAACAAATGAAGATCTTAGCATATGAAACAACTGGAAGCTGAAGGTTCAAATAAGAGGCAGATCATACATTGCTATTTGGGTCTAAAACCTGCCACTGTCAATATTTGTGTTTGTAAATTCCACTGACATTATGGTGTGGTTTTTGTTCCCCAGTAGGAAGAAAGTTCCTTGCAGAGTCTGAGGTGAGAATAAACAATACTACAAGACTTCAAATACTAAAGAGTATGGCAAACGATTTCCTGTGATTCACATTGTGCAGTAATTCTTTTTAATGTAAAATGAATGTACGGTGACATCCAGAAAAATATTCATTTTATTCTGATGTAAATGACTACAAGAGAGAGCTACTACAGAGACCAGTATAGGAGATGAGGGTAGGAAGGATTAGTGGAAGAAAGGGAAGACAGATATTCTGTGGAGGCACTTGCCAAGCAAAAAAAAAGATAATCTCAAATGTCCTCTATGGAAAGAAGTGAAGCAAGTAGTGGGAAAGGAAGCAAACTAAGGCAGGAAGAAGACACGGGAGAGGAAAATATTAGAACGAGAATCAAGAGTCTTAAGAGTAAAGAATAAAATGAAGTAGTTGGGACAGGGCAGGAAGCCAATTCCCAGAGTGAAGGAAGGCATGATATTGTTGGACAGATGGAAGAGGAAAACTGTGTCCAGCATCGGCATTTTGGCTCAGTGGAAAGGCAGAGGCAAAAGTCCTTTAAAGGAAACAATTATCATAGTCAAGTCAAAATTAGCCATTTACTATAAGAGAAAGTAAGAGGCAGAAGTTATCTGATGGAGCTTGCATGTTAAAATTACATGTTTGACAATCATTTTTTTCCATCTGACTTCTACCAGCAGCTGCTGATCTAAAGCAAGAAACGGTATTTGAGGTTCTTTCTTTCTGGTTCTATAAAGTAATAAGGAGTAATTAGCATGGGACCTGAGACAAACACCTGTCTAAAATGGCTCACATTAAATATACAAAAAGAGAGCAATCATAAGTTCCAGCCACTTGTTAACAAAGACTCAAACTATTACCGAATCATCTTCACCCCTTTCCCCCATAAAGGCTGGAACAGAAAATCTTGCAGACTGTCAAGAGAAACCACAATCTGATCCTCACTTGTGGCATTAATCTGTTCAAAACAAACTAGTACTGTAAGAAGCAGCAGAAGACCTAATGCTGAGGTGTGAGCCAAAAAGGATTTTAGCTTGACAGAAACCTTTATATTCTTTTAAGTTAATGGGAACTGCATCTACTTTTAAAAAGCAGATCTTTAAATTAATTCACTTCAGACCCTTGAGGTTATGTTAGGTTAACTCCCATAATGGGCAATTTGGATTTCTAGCTGCTGTTTTTTTCTGGTACAACAAGGTTATGTTCTGAGAAACATCTATTAGTGGGGAGGAAGTTTGACTGCAGATGTTTGTGATTCCAGCTTAAGTTTCTCATCAAAGCTTTAATGAAATTCAGCTGCTTGGAGTAGTGCCACCAGACCCCAAACCTTTTAAACCATAGGAAGCTGAAGCAAATGGAAGCACAGGACAGAGCAGATATATAGTGGGAAATGTTCTCCATTTCAAGAAGATGTATAAAGCACCCCCTAGAAAACACAATTTAAACTCCACTGCAATGAGTTCCCACAAAGCTTTGGGCAAGTACCAGCAAAATGCCCCAAAGCTTATTCAGGGCTGTGAAAACCAATAAAAGGCATTTCATGCCCACTCTTATTCATAATATGGGAAGCAAGGAAGGAATTAGAAGTCCA